CATTCAGAGAGTGATAAAGATAGGACGACACATGCGTTGACTCGTATCATGAAATGGAAAACGTCCATTTATGACTATTTGATTTCTTAGGCCGGAATCAGACTATGCATTAAAGATTGAGATTGAAGATTGAAGATTAAAATTTGACTACTGAGGACAAAGGAATTGTAGTTCCTATTATTTTGATTGGTCAAATTTCAATCTTTCAATCTTCAATCTCAATATTCAATGCGTATTCTGATTCCGGCTTTAAGGTGTATCCTCACAAAATTTTATAATCGCAAAAATTATGTATTGTCAAAAAAAATTGTCCAGCCATATTTTACACATCTTTATAACCCCGGATCTAGAATAGGTGTTTTAAGTTATAAGAAATTGACCAATTACAGTCAAATTCGAGAAGAATAATCGACTGTGATTTCTTGTGGCTTAAGGCTTAAAACTCTATTGTAGATCCAGGGTCAAACCCATTTTACATTAGACGCAAGTCGATAGCAAGTTAGTTGCGACAGTCAATCTGAAGTGTTGATTTCAAAATGTAAGCTTCAGATTGGCTGTCGCAACAAATTTGGGTTACGTCTAAGAGCCGGTTGACAATAGGTCGTAACCGTTAACTTAGGCCGGTGCCGTAATAGTTTGAAGATAGAAAACTCGTACTACCGTTTATAATTGCCGGCAAAAATTTGATGTTGATTTTAACTATAATCGGAAAGTTGATTCAACTTTATCTTTATCGGGCCACGGGAAAAATACGGGAAAAGTACGAAATCAACTTTTATGGCACCTACCTAAGTTAACGGTTACGGCCTATTATAAACCGGCTCTAGTGTAGAATGGTCTTAAGAGAAATGCGACTGAATAATTTTTTCATATATATGCTTATTATGCGGCTATATATGCAAGTTTGTGTAGATATATGCTATGGGCTATATTAATGCCCATATCAGAACTACGGATTGATGATTACGATTGACGTTTTATTTCAACTAATTACGATGTAGCGAGTCCATCATAATTGGCTGAAACAGAGCCGGGCAATCGTCAATCGTAAGCGTCAACTCATAGTCTAACAGCGTTTTCGAGTGGATTTGAACTCGATCCGGTTCCGTTAATCGGCAACATATTTGACCCGAAAGTATATCTTCTTATAAGTATAGCATCTTATAAGGTATTTTTAAGCATTAAGCCATAAGAAATTGATTAAAGACATAAGAAATTCAACTAAGATTTCTTTATTTCATAGAAACGAAGGACTTTGATTAGTCTATTTTCTTATGCATTATGCGTCCCCGCTTTACAGTCAAATGCAAAGAGAATAATTGACTATGATTCCTTATGACTTAAGGCTTACAAACCTATTGTAGATCCGGGCTAATGCATAGCGCATTAGGGAATCAACTAATTAAAATTCTTCTTTTCCATGGAATGGGAGGAAAGGAGAGATTCTGATTAGTTGATTCATCTAAATCCTATGCGTTATGCAAAATCTGTGCTGCGACCTTATGTCCTACGTCTTAAGGTAAACGCACCTAAAAATAGAAATAAGCAGTAAGCAGTAATGCCTAATTCACAATGGACGCAGCAATCATCAAGCAGTGGAGCAGCCTCACCAATCAGTGAGACGATATTTGTGACCAACCAGTCAGGCGATATTTACAGTGACGTACAAACAATATCGCCATGCTGATTGATTGCGCCAATATCACATTGTCTAGCTGCGTCCAGTGTAAATTAGGCATAAGGCGTACGAAGTAGGCAATTAACATTACCAGTATATCTGTACATGTGAAAAATGGCGGTCTTATGTCTTCTACTTCTATGTGCGTTCATTAAGGCCATGGCACACACCTTCCGTAACAGTAACCATAAAACGTATCGTAAGAATCAGCCAATTAGAATTAAGAGTGCAGAAGAATTCTCGTGCATTTTCTCGTGCGTGCGTACGTGCGTGCGTACGTGCGTGCGTACGTGCGTGCGTGCGTGCGTGCGTGCGTGCGTGCGTGCGTGCGTGCGTGCGTGCGTGCGTGCGTGCGTGCGTGCGTGCGTGCGTGCGTGCGTGCGTGCGTGCGTGCGTGCGTGCGTGCGTGCGTGCGTGCGTGCGTGCGTGCGTGCGTGCGTGCGTGCGTGCGTGCGTGCGTGCGTGCGTGCGTGCGTGCGTGCGTGCGTGCGTGCGTGCGTGCGTGCGTGCGTGCGTGCGTGCGTGCGTGCGTGCGTGCGTGCGTGCGTGCGTGCGTGCGTGCGTGCGTGCGTGCGTGCGTGCGTGCGTGCGTGCGTGCGTGCGTGCGTGCGTGCGTGCGTGCGTGCGTGCGTGCGTGCGTGCGTGCGTGCGTGCGTGCGTGCGTGCGTGCGTGCGTGCGTGCGTGCGTGCGTGCGTGCGTGCGTGCGTGCGTGCGTGCGTGCGTGCGTGCGTGCGTGCGTGCGTGCGTGCGTGCGTGCGTGCGTGCGTGCGTGCGTGCGTGCGTGCGTGCGTGCGTGCGTGCGTGCGTGCGTGCGTGCGTGCGTGCGTGCGTGCGTGCGTGCGTGCGTGCGTGCGTGCGTGCGTGCGTGCGTGCGTGCGTGCGTGCGTGCGTGCGTGCGTGCGTGCGTGCGTGCGTGCGTGCGTGCGTGCGTGCGTGCGTGCGTGCGTGCGTGCGTGCGTGCGTGCGTGCGTGCGTGCGTGCGTGCGTGCGTGCGTGCGTGCGTGCGTGCGTGCGTGCGTGCGTGCGTGCGTGCGTGCGTGCGTGCGTGCGTGCGTGCGTGCGTGCGTGCGTGCGTGCGTGCGTGCGTGCGTGCGTGCGTGCGTGCGTGCGTGCGTGCGTGCGTGCGTGCGTGCGTGCGTGCGTGCGTGCGTGCGTGCGTGCGTGCGTGCGTGCGTGCGTGCGTGCGTGCGTGCGTGCGTGCGTGCGTGCGTGCGTGCGTGCGTGCGTGCGTGCGTGCGTGCGTGCGTGCGTGCGTGCGTGCGTGCGTGCGTGCGTGCGTGCGTGCGTGCGTGCGTGCGTGCGTGCGTGCGTGCGTGCGTGCGTGCGTGCGTGCGTGCGTGCGTGCGTGCGTGCGTGCGTGCGTGCGTGCGTGCGTGCGTGCGTGCGTGCGTGCGTGCGTGCGTGCGTGCGTGCGTGCGTGCGTGCGTGCGTGCGTGCGTGCGTGCGTGCGTGCGTGCGTGCGTGCGTGCGTGCGTGCGTGCGTGCGTGCGTGCGTGCGTGCGTGCGTGCGTGCGTGCGTGCGTGCGTGCGTGCGTGCGTGCGTGCGTGCGTGCGTGCGTGCGTGCGTGCGTGCGTGCGTGCGTGCGTGCGTGCGTGCGTGCGTGCGTGCGTGCGTGCGTGCGTGCGTGCGTGCGTGCGTGCGTGCGTGCGTGCGTGCGTGCGTGCGTGCGTGCGTGCGTGCGTGCGTGCGTGCGTGCGTGCGTGCGTGCGTGCGTGCGTGCGTGCGTGCGTGCGTGCGTGCGTGCGTGCGTGCGTGCGTGCGTGCGTGCGTGCGTGCGTGCGTGCGTGCGTGCGTGCGTGCGTGCGTGCGTGCGTGCGTGCGTGCGTGCGTGCGTGCGTGCGTGCGTGCGTGCGTGCGTGCGTGCGTGCGTGCGTGCGTGCGTGCGTGCGTGCGTGCGTGCGTGCGTGCGTGCGTGCGTGCGTGCGTGCGTGCGTGCGTGCGTGCGTGCGTGCGTGCGTGCGTGCGTGCGTGCGTGCGTGCGTGCGTGCGTGCGTGCGTGCGTGCGTGCGTGCGTGCGTGCGTGCGTGCGTGCGTGCGTGCGTGCGTGCGTGCGTGCGTGCGTGCGTGCGTGCGTGCGTGCGTGCGTGCGTGCGTGCGTGCGTGCGTGCGTGCGTGCGTGCGTGCGTGCGTGCGTGCGTGCGTGCGTGCGTGCGTGCGTGCGTGCGTGCGTGCGTGCGTGCGTGCGTGCGTGCGTGCGTGCGTGCGTGCGTGCGTGCGTGCGTGCGTGCGTGCGTGCGTGCGTGCGTGCGTGCGTGCGTGCGTGCGTGCGTGCGTGCGTGCGTGCGTGCGTGCGTGCGTGCGTGCGTGCGTGCGTGCGTGCGTGCGTGCGTGCGTGCGTGCGTGCGTGCGTGCGTGCGTGCGTGCGTGCGTGCGTGCGTGCGTGCGTGCGTGCGTGCGTGCGTGCGTGCGTGCGTGCGTGCGTGCGTGCGTGCGTGCGTGCGTGCGTGCGTGCGTGCGTGCGTGCGTGCGTGCGTGCGTGCGTGCGTGCGTGCGTGCGTGCGTGCGTGCGTGCGTGCGTGCGTGCGTGCGTGCGTGCGTGCGTGCGTGCGTGCGTGCGTGCGTGCGTGCGTGCGTGCGTGCGTGCGTGCGTGCGTGCGTGCGTGCGTGCGTGCGTGCGTGCGTGCGTGCGTGCGTGCGTGCGTGCGTGCGTGCGTGCGTGCGTGCGTGCGTGCGTGCGTGCGTGCGTGCGTGCGTGCGTGCGTGCGTGCGTGCGTGCGTGCGTGCGTGCGTGCGTGCGTGCGTGCGTGCGTGCGTGCGTGCGTGCGTGCGTGCATTTTAACAACTCCATCCGAAGACGTTTGTACACTGCATCAAAATAATAGCCTGCCAATAAGGTCGCGGACGACGCGGTAGACTTGCAATAAGATTAAATCCAATTCAAAAAGCGGAAGGTGAGAAATAATATATCTTTAATCATTAATCGCTTATACATATTTCTTATTTAGTGTATTATGAAGCTGACATGTCATATGATAAGATTTCCATTGCTATAGAAATAATGTCATTTCTCCAGGCTCGTATATTTGTGATTTATCATTATTACAGTAACTCCGAGTACTGAAGAAATGAAAGAACGAGCCATTCGCAAGATAGAATCTATTGAAAATGTGACGAATGATAGCATAAATGAACATATATTATATGTACATATATTTTAATCGTATATCATGAATATTATTAATAATTATACAGTAATATGATTTTCTTATTTTTTTCAACTTATTTTTTCTATATATCTAGAGATGATTAATTACGTTATATATTTATGCGCGCGTATGTGTGTGTTTATCATTTTATGTATTTATTATTTTAATAGCTATATCTGATGATATTTGCCCATCTTTTCAAATTACTGAATAAGGTAATAGAGAGTGGAAGAGGCACAGCAGGTCTCGCAGATATCGCGGACGGCGCGATAGACTTGCAAGATTGAATTCAACAAACCGAATTCAACAAGTAAATAGTGAGAAATAACACGTTTATAATTAATCGCTGATGCACCTGTATTATTGAATTTGTTTATAAAGCTATTATATATGTTATATGATATACATCATATGTCATATGATAAGATTTCCATTGTAATAGTTAAATGTTAATTTTGTAAACGTTAATTTTTAATCTATTGTCTATTGTGTTTTATCATTTCAGGAACTGCAAATACGGAGGAAGAAACCGAAAGGACAGAGGAGCCACTAGCAAACACGGAATCTATTAAATGAGATTATTGAAATTTTAGACGAAGGTATTATATTATTGTATATACATATTTTATTATTATTCTCTTATAGCGATATACGAACATTGATGTAACATATGATAAAGTTCCCATTGTAATAGATATGTCAAATTTCTAGTCTGTTGTGTGATTCATTGTGGTTAATCATCGTTTCAGAAAGTCAAGAAGAAAATGTAAGAACGGATGTCACAAGTGTGGAATCTAACAGAAACGAGACAAATGAGATTATAGATGACGATATGAATGTATTATATGTACATTTTATATTTAATCATTATAATTTCATATTGTTCTTATAATGTTATCAAGTAGTAATAAAATTATTTTATGTTGGCAGATGATCGTATTTATGATATCCCGGAAGACGATTTTAGTACTCTCGGCATTGGTTTATATGAAAACGAACGGGATGATTTACCTTATCATCCTACTCGAATCCAATATCTGCATTAGGTGAACGCATAAATGGTTCATGTTGTACGTGCTTGATTACAAATCCCACCCATATGTTGTGCCATGTGGGCATTTATGTATTTGCACCGATTGCAAGAAAAGATTGGAGACGAACAAATGTCCGTTATGTCGAGTCGAATACATCAGTTGTATTCGCACTATTATCACGTAATACTATGGAGAAAAAGTTATGATTGCTACAACCGAATAAATGTGATATAATTTTGTATTGATATCTCCATGTTTGTTTGGCTCGTGTGTGTTTTCTTTCAATCGCACTCTCATTTTCTCTCACTGAATCGTCATAACTCTCTCTTTTCCGTGAGTCATAGCGTGCTTCCGTTCAGTTATTCTGTCTTTAATTGCATTGTTATAACAATCAATGCACGCAAAAAATTATTTTATACGCAGTATTTATTTTCATTGCTCTTCTTTAGATAGTGAAGTCCCTGATGGAAAAATTTCGTTAAAATTATTCCACGTTTTGAAACACTTTTCGGCAAAATTTTAGCATTTCAGAAAAATTTCAGTTTAATTTTAGCGATTTTTAGTTAAAATATTCATTATTAACAAAATTTTAGCCAAAATTTCAGAGAAATTTCAACAAAATTTCAGAGAAATTTCAAATTTCAGTTCAGTTTCAATGATTTTTCAGTATGTTAGCTGAAAAATTTGCTGAAAAATTCACTTCCAGTGAAATTTCAATAAATTTCAGCAATTTCGCTGAAATGTTTCAAAACGTGGAATAATTCCAACGAAATTTTTTCACCAGGGGTAATGTGCAAAATTTGTATAATCAAAGAATACTTCGCCAAAACACAAAAGTCGGACGATATGTGTAAGAAATACTTTATCCACAATACAGTTGTACACATACAGTGTAATTTCTAATTAATTAAAATTACATTAACAAACGTTCTTTCGATGATTAAAATGACAAACTTATTTTTCACAAGTAAGAATTTAGAATATATAATGGTCGAAGATGGATCTTAGATTATACAATTTCTATGTGAATTCATATATCCATATTATTATACAAATCGAACTAACCAAGACTCCTTATAAATCAAAGAATTGGAAAGGATATGGGCAGTAGGAGTCAAGTGCAGAAGACGTCGCGCAAATAATATATCTATGAAGTGTGAAACTTCTTTATTCACTAAAATGCGCTTACATGTTTCGGCTCACTTTTGACCTCCTCAAAGACAACACAAATTAACATAAATAAACTAAATAATATATCGAAATAAAGAATATGAAAAACTAATTTATCAAAAACTTTAAGATGATAATTAATCATCCCGAAAATAAGGATGCTCACAAATCACTGATCACAAATCACAAATTATATCGCAAACATTACTATGAATTATTCAAAAACCGGTTCTCGATATTTTGGCAGTCAGTATCAGACACAGTGAGCCACTTTTAATTTTAGTTAGTATTATTGAAGCTTACAAATGAAAAATTTTGCATTGAAACGTTAATCAATTCCATGAAAGTTGAGAAAATGAAAGTTGAGAAATAATCAAAAATCACGCCAGAAAGACTCATTACAGCGTACAAACGACACTGACAGTGTCAGTAAGGTTTTTGATACATTAGTTTTTCATATTCTCTATTTCGATATTTCCATTATTTCTTTTTTTTTTTGTTAATTTTTCTTTTTTCTTTTTCTTTTACTTTTTTTGGCGTTTAAATTCTCGAGATAGGAAAGCTCACCATGATAGGATAATTTTTATTCACAGTTTATTTATGTTAATTTGTGTTGTCTCTAAGGAGGGCTCAAAAGTGAATCGAAACATGCAAGCGTTTTAGTGAATAAAGAAGTTTTACACTTCATAGATATACGATGACGACGACGACGATGACGACGACGATGAATATGTTTGCGATTTTGATGATGTCGATGAGGAACTTGTTGGCGATTTTGATGCTTTTTCACCTGGACATTCCCAATATCGCGCTTTTTCCCTCGATGGTGGTGAACTTGGCGGACCTGGTGACAAGGGACGGTACCCCTTGCGCTCGATCGATTTTCGATGTATATATTCTTTTACACAATCCATGTCTTATCACTCGTAATCGAAATTTACGATTGAAAGAAAAAAAGTTATATACACTGTTTATATACACTATCAGATCGATGATACATCGCGACGCGTTAAGAGAAGCGCCAATGTTCGGCTGCTAAGCAAAACATAACTCTTCTACAGTAAAATGAAAGTGATACTCCAGTGAAAAGTATGAAAACACACTGCGTTCCCACAACCCATAAATTTCTTCGAAGAAGTGTCGATAACGATTTTTTTCTGAGAAGAGATAGCGAGATCAATGACATGTAGCGACGCGTTAAAAGAAGCGTTGATGCTGTTTATAGAAACTATAATCGCTCGCAATGCTGCCTTATCTACTTCTAAATAAAGTATGACCTAATAAGCAAAGGGAGTCACAAATGAAATATATGATGAGTTATAAGCGCTCAGTTCCGCAGTGGTGTCCTGGAAGACGAATTGATCGCAATAAGAATAGTGAAAAAAAAGTATGGGTGATCATCGTGCGAATATTGAGGACATAGCCAACGTAGTCGAGCACATTAGAAACGTGGATCCTTGAAAAAACTATTGTGAACAGTATTGTGAGCGAGACACTACTGAAAAATATGTGGAAAGACTCTAACGTAGATGATGTGTTGTATGTTCTCGGTAATCTGCAAAAAAGAGACATAGGTGCACGAATATCGCCAGTACAATTCCTACGCGATCGAGAATTAGGTACGAGTATACGTAGTGAGAAACATGGAACAGTTATCAGAGAGCCCGTTTCTGACTGGTCTTTACTCGTGCGACAGAAAGTGTATCTACGGTTACAAGACAAATGTTACGAGGACGATGAATATGAAAAGAGGCAAGGGTGGAATAGAAATGTCAATGTAATAAAGGACGATTATTATTGGGCGAAAAAAATCGCAGATAACAGCCAAGGTTGGTGCATCTGCATTAAGATTCCTGCAGGTAGGGAAAAGTGCGTCGAACTGCTGCTTATTGACAATATATGGATGGAGTTTCGTGATCGCGATCTTGCACCAAAACTATTTTTCGACAGATGCGACGATCAATGCTTTGAGTGTGAACAATGCATTTTCGCATACAAACATAATGAAAAAGTGTTACAACATTATGATTTTCTAGATATGTCGCGATGCTGCAACGTGTGTGAACGAGTCACGTGCAAGTGCTCCGTGGAAGAGTGTGACGTGATCTAAAGAAAAAAATGGAAAATCACGAGCGAGTGGAACACGAACTATTGGAGCAGTGCAGCCAGGTCGCTACTCTGGTGAAATGTTTCGCGTGGCTGCAACGATGCGA